ATAACAATATCATTATAAAAATTATAATCGGGACGATTGTAACTTGACAATGCTGGAATAGTACCCCAACCAATACCATATGCCCAAAGAACATGTCCGGCAGCTTGTATCCAAGCCTTTTTATTTAATAATCGTTGTGGGTCAGGTATTAAATAATATCTTAAACCACTCCAAGCACCATCAAGTGTCATTCCTCGAATAAATAATGCTAACATTGGTAAATAAGGAAATATAGTTGTGAATACTGCAACACGACTTGTTAATTTGATACCTTTCCAAAGACATAAATATACAACTGTCCACATAATCAATAAACCGATTACACTTGGCCAATGAAATGTTGATAAACCACCAAAATCTTCTGATATATTTAAAATTGTTGTATTCCAAAAGTGCTCAACTGAGTTAGTTATTCGTTTTGTATTATTTGTGAATGGAATATCTCCTAAATAATAATATGAAATAATTCAATTTTGAAAGAAATATGATAAATTGATAAAAAATTAAAATTACCTACATCGTCGCTCCATGGTAATGGTGAACCAATTGAACTGAACGAATGATAGAGATAAAGACCACCCCAGACCATAATCATTATATAATAAAGAGCACCAAAAAATGATACAACAACAGAAGCAATACCAATACCACGCATTGCTGGTGCAAAATCCCAACAACCAACTGGACCTTTACGTGAAAATTGACCAAGTGCTGTTTCCATCATAAGTAAAGGTATACCGCATAAGACACAAATAAGTACATACGGTATAACAAAAGCAGCACCACCATTCTCAAATGCCAAATACGGAAAACGATAGAGACTACCTAAAATATAAAGATTATTTTTATCCTTCTTCGTTATCTCTTGATATCTACAAATGTAATAAGATAGTGAAGGTAGAGTTTCATTTTTTATCGTATTCTAACCTTGTACCAAAAAAACACTCTTACGATATTTATCAAAATAAATCAGTTATACATACCAAGTCCAATAAGTCCACCGAGTGTTGTTATCAAATAATCGCAATTATTTGACCATGTTTCACGTGTATCTTCTTTAGTCAGAATAGCTTTTGTGCTAGAATCTGATGGATTATTTACAATAACTGTTGATAAATGTAATTCTTGATCAAGTTCATTTATATCACGAGATGATTCAGAATAATCATCAAAATTATTTTGTGATTGTTCCTGCTGTTGCTGTTGTTGTTGTTGGTCGGTAGTAAGCAAAGAAACAAACACATTCGCCGA